GAGAGAGAGAGAGAGAGAGAGAGAGAGAGAGAGAGAGAGAGAGAGAGGGAGACAGGGACAGAGAGAGACAGAGTGAGAGAGAGAGCAAAGAGACAGAGTAATACAGCCTGTGAAGAGACCCAAGACTGGGTGTGTACAGGAAGGAAGAGAGGAACATGGAGGACCACCTAACTCTGTCTGCCTCTTCACTATTAATTGCTTTTCTTTTGGTTCTTTTGAGTCTCAAATACCAGGGTGAATGAGTGTGTGTTCTTGGGATTACTTGCAGAAGGGAAGGGAAAACCATAGGCCCCTAGAGTGTAACACACCGTGTTTGTGGCAGAGTAGCAGTCTCGAGCCAGGAGCAGCCTCGCTGTAGCCCAGCCTTGGTAGTCAGCCTTCACCCTGTACATCAGTCAGATGCTGTCAACACACTCCCTTGAGAAGGACTGTGAAGCTACAACTGTCTCAGCAGAAAAGGGCAAGGTCGAGGTCATTGTCTTTCCTGAGCACACCACAGACTCACCATCCTGTCCTAACCTCAGCCATCTGTGGAGTTCTTAACAAGCATGCAAGCCTGATCTATCTCTCCAGAGATGGAACCTGGGCACATGACCAGCAGCTCCAGGGCTCCTGGGAATGCCTGCGGATAAGGACAAGGCAGTGTTATAGAATATCGTACTCCAGGAGAGGAAGGCTAGGCAGTTCTTGGCTTTGATCATTATTCTCCTTCATCTTGTCTAGCATGTGTCTTCCGTCCCTTGTCTCAGGAATGGTTTATTGAGCACTTTATGATCTTTTCAGTCATCTCCTGTGGAGAGCTCCCCACACCCCCGAGTGGGCACCGCATTGGAACCATGTCTGTCTATGGGGCAACTGCCATCTTCTCCTGCAATTCTGGATATACGCTGGTGGGCTCCAGAGTGCGGGAGTGCATGGCCAATGGGCTCTGGAGTGGCTCTGAAGTCCGCTGCCTTGGTGAGTGGTCCTTCAGGCTCACCTTACTTTCCTACTCTCATAAAGTACTTAGTCCAAGTACCAACCTTCAGGCATCTACTATGACTAGAGCCCGAGATCAGCTTCCCTTGGGGAACTTGAAAGAATAAGAAGCCCAGCCTCTAAGGGGCCTTTAATCAGAAGGACAACCTGCTTATCTAATTAGCCCATAGGATGACCAGTGTAGCCCTGGCCTCCACCCTAAAGAGACACGTTCTTATAATGCACCTAAGGTAGTCTTTGTATTATATATTAGAGAATTATTTTAAATGCATCTGCTTGTATATACATATGTACATTATAATATACACATGTGTATACACTAAGCAAACAACAGAAGCATTTGCAAACAACCAGCTTACAAAGGAGAAAATTATCATTGCTCCGGGGGCTAATGTATTCCCTGACTGAGCCTAATCTAAGTTCTCTCTCCTATTATTCTTTTCTGGCTTCTCTCAATTCCAAAAGAGCGTTTCAGCCATGCATGCCTAGTAGGGCAGATTGGGTGATCTGTCCCTGATATGCACACTAGTGACATCCAGGTTACAGAAGACCATGGCCAGTAGCCACTTTCTTGGGCACTGGTTTGGGGTACAGTTATGAGCAACTGCTACCTAGTCAAAGGAACCAAAAGGAAGCCAGGGGTCTACTGTGCCCAAGCTTCATTTAATAAAAGTAACTCGGTGAGATGTCACTCAAAAAGAAAGATGAATCTGGCCAAGCATCTGCTTTTGCATGGCTGTCATCAGCAATATAAGCCGTGATGGCTTCATTTTGGCTACAGTGCTCGATAGACAGTCGGGACCCAGGGAATGGTCCTTGTGTCAGCTTTCTACCAGATATGACAAGCTACCTAAGATAATCCATTTACAGAGAGGAAAGATTAATCTTGGCTCACAGTTCTGGAATTGTTGGCCCACAATCACTTGTCGCCCATGGTCTTTGGACTATGGCAAAGCAGCATACATCCCGGCATAATCAGGGGCAGGGGAATTCGGCTTCATGGGCATGACCTATCATCCTCCCCTCCTTCTTGAGACTGGGCACCAGGCTTCTAACACACGAAGCTTTGGGGGACTTACTCAAACCATAGAACTCACAGAGACTGGAAAATGTGGTAACTCCCCTCCCCACTTGTGTACAGACACAGAAACAGAACCATTTGATTCGGGGGAGGGGGGATGTCACCAAGCCCACAATACTGTTACTATCATGTAAGGAGTTCCCAAACTCTAAACTCTCTCCTGGATCACTGCTCTCCCTGGGAGGTGGGAAAACAAATCACGGCTGAGTACTTGGCCCTTTCCCTCCCTCCAACTAAGCTCGACCCCACTCTCTAGAGGTTCCTCTGTGGTTGACTCTCTTCCCCCATCCCACCAAAGCTGGACACTGTGGGACCCCAGAGCCCATTGTCAATGGACACATCAACGGAGAAAACTTCAACTACCGAGGCAGTGTGGTGTACCAGTGCAGGGCTGGCTTCCGCCTGATCGGCATGTCTGTGCGCATCTGCCAGCAGGATCATCACTGGTCGGGCAAGACCCCTTTCTGTGTGCGTAAGTATGTCAGCCACTCTCCCTAGCCATGGGGCTGAGTCAACACGGACTTCCTCCCTTTCCCTCTTGATTAGGTTAGCTAAAAGTTTTGTATATTCTTTTCCCCCCAAAGATATGGTCACTGCATCTGTTTCTTCAGGTCTCTGTGCTGTCATTGACTACTGGTTTTATCATTCCCTTGTGACTTCTGATAAACATTTTTTGTTTGTTTTGCTAATTTGGATGTGAATTGCATTACACACATGCACATGCAGTAAGCAAATGACAAGCTCACTCATTTTCAGTCTCTCATTTTGTGTTATTTTTTTATTTGGACCTATAAAATTTCTTCTGATCAACTGTTGTAATTATACCTCGTACATACTAGTAATAAATATTTATTATTTTTAGAAGTTTTTTAATTTCTCGTTAATTGCCCACCACTACACTTGATTTTAATAAATTCTTTAAAATTTCTAAGCCAAAGGATCTTTTCCGCTTTTATTTTATATACATCATGTAAAATAATTCTATTTCTTGACATTTATTGATGCTTTCCTTCTGAATAAACAGTTGGTCAATCGTTATGAATGTCCCATGTGTGCTTGAGAGGAAGAACATTGTAGATAGTTCTGCTGCACATACGGACACATGTATTCCTAAGATGTACATTATAAATTATGTCCTTTATGGTTTTTTCCTTATTTTGCCCACTTGAGTAGTTTTCTTTGAAAGACTTGTTTAAAGTGTTCTGTTATCAATGCTTCGGCATTGTTCCTTACATTTCCTGCAGGTAGCTGCCATGTCCTATGGTATAAATATATTCAGAACTCGTAAAGCTTGATAGTAAATCAATCGTAACTTCTCCCCTTTAAAAGTATCTTCTTCATCACTTTTAATGTTTGTTAACCTGAATTTTACTTTTCTTGATTTCAACTTGATTTCTTAGAATTCCAACTTCCACACTTTCCCCTGACCTTTGACCATCCCTGACCTTTGACCATCCCTGAATAGCAGGCACAACTATTAAACTGTACTCTTATAAGCTGTCTTAATTAGGGCTTCATTGCTGTAAAGGGACACCATGACCAAGGCAACTCTTGTTGAGGACAACATTTAAATGGGGCTGGCTTATAGATTCAGAGGTTCAGTTCATTATCATCACGGCTGGAAGCATGGCAGCATCCAGACAGACATGATGCTGGAGAAGGGGCTAAGAGTTCTACGTCTTGATCCACAGGCAGTGGAAGGGGATTGTCTTCTGAAGGCAGCCAGGAGAGGCTCTCTTCCTCACTGGCTGGAACTTGAGCAATAGGAAACCGCAAAGCCCGCCTACACAGTGACACACTTCCTCCAACAAGGCCACGCCTCCTAATCTCGCCACTTTGTATGGGTCAAGCACACTCAAACCACCACACCTGTCAACATGAAAATCTTCCTGTTCAAAGATTAAAGTCACTTATATAAGGAGATACGTCTTACATGCTTGGTCCTAATTCTCTTGTGTCCTCTGTCATTATGATGTGGTATTCTCTTTGTTGTTGACATTTTCACTTCTCACACTGTAAGGCTGTCAGTTCCTCGGGTTTTTTAATTCAAATCTTTATTATCTAGTTGGTCAACACTAGAATCCATGAACTTTCACATAATGGCTACACAGCATGTTCCCCTCTCCAGTTTCCATTCTCTGTCAGGGTTGAGAACATGTATCATGGAGTTCAGATGTCATAATTCTATTTCTTCTACCTACCTTTGCTTTATTCTTGAACCTACAATTAAATCCATCATCAACACTGCTGAAGCATCCCAGTTACTTCTTAGTAGGGTCAAGTTTAGTCTTTAGTAGTCAGTACAACCCTCTGCATAATATACTTCAAGTTCCTCCATGGGTTGTGGTGATGGTGACGGTGGTGGTGGTTTGGGTTTTTAGTGTATGTGCTGCTGTGAGTGGTGATGTGTGTGTGTGTGTGTGTGTGTGTGTATCCATGTCCTGCAGATTCAACAGATGACCTGGTGGGTCCATAAGCACTTTACCACTAGAGCTGCATTCCCAGCCCTTGGTATTTTAGGATGGGATCTGCTTATGTCACCTCAAATTTGCAATTCTTTCCTTTCACCTCCTGAGGGCTGGTGTAACAGGCATGTACCAACATGTACTTGAATGTTTAAAATTCTGTTCTATTCCCTGTCATTCAAAAGGCAACAAGATTGGTCATAAAATCCTTGACCGCAAGGTGTGTGTGTGTGTGTGTGTGTGTGTGTGTGTGTGTGTGTGTACTTCACCTTTTTTAAAAATTGTACTTATTTAAGCCTACTTTGGGGTTCATATCCATAGAGCAATGGTGACAACCGTCAAGTATACTACAGTTCATCTCCTTTCCTTTGTGGGTATGTGATGAGCAAACCTGATGTCCACTCTCTTGGGAAATCTCCAGTGTACAGTACAGTACTGTTAACTGCACACAGGGTGCTACACCCTGGATCCCTAGACTTTGCTGTCCTGTCCTATGTCGCTGCGACTTTGAATCATGACACGAGCATTTCCTTTTCCCACTCGACCCTTCCCTGAGTAGCCACCCATTTACACTCTGTCTGAGCCATCAACTTTTCGAAGTACAACATTAGCCTCACTCTGGGTGGTCTTCAGGAAGGTTCTGGATATTTTTCACTTGGTGCCTGAAATCTAATATTTCTTCGAGGGCTGAAGGCTGCAAGACAACCTCCCTGGATATCCTGTGGTTTTCGGAATGTATCCATTCTGCTATTATTTCTCAAGCATTCTCTGGATTACAGTTTTAAGATCTGGTTCTGGGCGGCCTTGCCTGGACGCTTTCATTCTTCAACTTCCAAGCAATTTAAAGCCAGTGGTAGTCCCTGTCTTAGTTTCTGCAGACCTGGGTTTTCTGTTCTTTTATTTGTTCTTGTTAATTTGCATTTGGGGGAAATTTACATGACCACCATTATCCTCAGAGCCTGCAAATAATTTGGAAAATTCTTCACTTTTTACAGTTCCCTAAAGTGAGCCTTTATGTAAAATTCAGGGGTTTGTTCTGAACTGTTATGAGACAAAGTTTTGTTTTTAATTGCTGCTCTTCGTCTAGCTCCTCACACACAGAAGGCCTCTGAGGGAGGCAGGTTGCCCCACAGTAATATCTAAAATCAGTCTTAGGGACCTCTTCAGTGTTGGGTTTACAGAAGGTGAAACCCACCCATATCCAGTCTTCTGACGTGTCAACACAAAACCTTTCACTGCACCCAGAAGCTTCACATGAAATGCCCGGATGGAGAATTTTTGCCTAACCTAAAGACACATGTTCTTGTTAGATGTGGGTCAAAGTCAGAGATGTTGAGATAAGAACTCAGGCTTTCATCCTTCCGAACCACCATGCCTGGCACAAACAACTGTAAAGATTTCTTTTTGGCTCTGGGTTTCCGAAGCAGTGGGAAGGATGTGGTGGAGCCCAGCTGTTCACATCACAGCAGCCAGGAAGCTAAGAAAGGACATATGGGAGGAAGCCAGGACCCTGAGGAAAACCCTTAATGATGTACTTCCTCCAACTAGATCCAGCCTCTTCCTTTCCACCATCTCCCAACTGCCGTGGGGTTATCATTCCATCAAGGGCTGGCTAACCAGTTCATTGGGTCAAAGCCCTCCAGGTCTCATTTCTGGGCATGCTCACACAGAGGCACATAGACATGTGCTTTCCTGAGCTCCTGGGCATTCTCCACTCAATCAAGTTGATAGTTCAAGTTAAGCGTCACAGATGTCTACTCTAGGCACCTCACTCTCCTTTCATTGGCTGCAAAAGCTACTGTAGTTTGAGTCGAGTTCTGCACCCTCCACCCACCCCGTATTTCTCTGCTCCAGCCAGAGAGAACCTCCTCATGAACAGGAGCCCTAGTCCTGACCCCTTCTGCCAGAAGATTCAGGGCAGGAGGCAGGATGTCACAGACAAAGCTCTGGAGCAGGTGGCAAACACCTGCTTGGTGACAGAACAGTGCACAGAAGGTGGCAATGAGTGCCAGTGGCTGCTCCTGCTGTCCCGGACAAGAGCTGTGGACTGGGAATAAGTGGGAGACAGGGAGCTATGGCTGGGTCACCAATGAATCCACAGCCAGCTGTTCTTCCCTCTTTCAACCACTTGACAGCTCTTTAGATGATCTCTGGAAACTTGGGGCTGTCCTGTGGCTCTGACTCCGCCCCTCATGCTGAGCTGCATTGGGCTTTGTTTCTGGTCCAGCCTCAGTCCCCTTTGCAGGCTTTCTGGTCTGTCTTCCCTTAAAAGGCCTCCTTAGGTCACCATGCCTGTGTCGGTTCAATGGTTTTTAAGCTTTGGTGAGAGCGTCATGATCCTTTTGACCAGTTGATACAAGGTTGGCATATAATGCTACCTGCATACCCTGCCTATGCCACCGCCACAGAGATCCAGCAACCTGCTCCCCTGTAGACAGGTGTGAGTCAGGCGCCATCCCAGGTGAGAAGAGTCTGATGTGGGGGTGTGGAATAGTAGGTGGGCTCACCTGTCTTCCGTTCTTATTGCAGCAATTACCTGTGGACACCCAGGCAATCCAGTCAACGGCCTTACTCAAGGCAGCCAGTTCAACCTCAACGACGTGGTCAAGTTTGTTTGCAACCCAGGATACATAGCTGAGGGGGCTGCTAGGTCCCAGTGCCTGGCCAGCGGGCAGTGGAGTGACACACTGCCCACCTGCAGAAGTGAGTCACCCTTCCTGCCCCGCTCTCTTCCCCACCAACTCAGCTGTCTGAGCTTCTGTGGCCCAGAAGAACAAGCCATGGAATTCACTCCTAATATCATTCTCTCTCATGCAAGGGACACTTGGGACAGAGAAGGGTCACAAATGGAGACTCTCAACTCCTAGATACAGTTGTGTGACATTTTATCAAATCAACAGTTTCTTCTTGCAAGCCTTTAGTTCATTAGACAAATAATTTATCATCATGTAATGCCCCAGTGTGTGTATGTCTGTGTGTCTGTCTGTGTGCCTGCTAGCATGTGTGTTTGTGAGTGCATGTATGCATATGTGTGTGTGTATGTGACTATGTGTGTATGTGTATCTGTGTATGAGTGTATGTGTATATGTGTGTGTGTGACTGCATGTGTGTCTGTCTGTGTACACATGTGTGTATGTGTGTATTATCATGCATGCATGTGTGTATGCCTGTATGCCTGCCTATTTGTATGTGTCTCTGTGTGTATGCATGTGTCTATGTGTCTGTGCATGTGTGGGTAAATGTGTCTGTGTGTGCGGAGTGTGCACAGAGGGCCTTTTCTCACATAAACAAGAAATTTAGAAGTTGCATCACCTCTGAGCAACATCTTGGTCTGTCCTCATGGCTGCAAAATGGCTGCTGTGGCTCCTTTGTAGCCATGTTCAGTTGCTGTGGAAAAAATGTCAACAGCAGAACTAGAATGAAAAACAAACACTAAAGAGTCTAAGAACTGGGATCAAGAAGTCAAGGTGGAAAGTAAGAGATGCCAAGAGGAAATCAGACTCCAGAAATCGCCATGGAAACCATTCCAGATAAACTTCTAGAACCTTGGAGGGCTTTTTACAACAGCACAGCAGCAAAGCCTCAGAGAAACTCATTAAAGGTCAAACAAATAGCTTAGGGCTGGGGACACAGCCCAGCCATTAAAGCACCTGCCTAGGGGGTGTGAGGACCTGAGCCAGAGCTCCAGAACCCACATATAAAAGCCAGGCATCAGGGATTGGTGCTTGAACATGGGATGGATCTCAGATTGGGCTGGTTATTGGTTGGCCGATCCCTCAATCTCTGATCCATTACCAATCCCTGCATTTCTTGTAGACAGGATAAATTTTGGGTTTTCATGTGAGTCCCTAACAACTGGATCTGGGGCTATCCCAAAAGCTGTTGCCTGTGTAGCTGGGAGAGGAAGCACCTAGCCTCACAGAGACTTGAAGTGCCAGGGTGGGGAAATACCCAGGGGAGAAGGGGAGGGGAGGTAGGGGAAGGATTATGGGGTGACTGGGAGGAGGGCAGTGGGCAGGATGTAAAATGATAAGTAAAAACGTTAATTGTTTTTTAAAAGCCAGGCTTGGTGGCATGCTTGTAATCTCAGTACTAGGAAGACAGAGGCAGGCAGGTCCCAGGGGCTCGCTTCAGCCAGTGTAGCCTAATTGCTGAGCTCCAGTCAGTGAGAGGCTGTATCTCAGGGGAGCTGGGAAAAGTTCTTGAAGATGTCATGCAATGTTATCCTGCATTCACATGCACATAGAAACACATATGAGCACAAACATATGCACATACATATACACGCGTGTGCACTCGCACCCACACACACACACCTTGTATAATAAAGTGACTATCTCACTTTACTTCTCCTGACTTGCTTTTCCTGACTACCTTACCCTATGAGGATGACTCTGGTCATAAGGTGCATGCGGATGTGTTTGAAAGTCAAAGTATGGGTGATGGCAAATGTTGCTATTATTCTAAACACGCTGAGTTTGAGTAAAGCTTCTTTGGAAACCCTTGCTCATTTGAAGGTCAGCTGAGTCCTCTAGGATACTAATGCTTACTGGAAACAGTCATAAAAGGGATTAAAACATTTTCAGAACAAGTTCAAGTGCTATTCAAACCGGGTTAGATGTGCCTGCTTTACAACAGATGAGCTTTGGGAAGGAACCACATTAAACCAGGGGTCAGAAACACAGAGGCAAGACAGCCGTGCCCTTGGGGTGTGCATGGATGGAGACAACTCATCCCAGGCCAGCAGCCACACTGGGAACACTGAGGGAGAAAGACTGAGTAGTCTAGGAGGAGAGGCAGGCTCCTTAGGGGAGGGGACAGCCACCTGGACATGGAAGACAAATCCATGACTGGGTGACCAAGGCAGAGAAGGAGAGCTGTGGCCTCAAGACCACACCAACCTTCCATGTAGGGTCTACTTTGTCCTCAAGCTTTGATCTAGAGACTTGGCTGGACTGAGAAGCATCTGTCTAGACTTCTGAATTCTCACTTCAAAGCTTGAGAAAATCCTTCATATCCAAATCTCAGTGTCTCGCTGTCACCTTCCATAACAGTCATCAACTGTACAGATCCTGGGCACCAGGAGAACAGCGTCCGGCAAGTCCACGCCAGCGGCCCCCACAGGTTCAGCTTCGGCACCACCGTGTCCTACCAGTGCAGCCACGGCTTCTATCTCCTGGGCACACCTGCCCTCAGCTGCCAGGGCGACGGCACCTGGGACCGGCCCCGCCCACAGTGTCTCTGTAAGTAGATCCATTTGCTTCCAGTAACTGTCGAAGGGAAACATCTCAGAGCACACCCACACACACGTGTTCAGTGCCATGCTAATTCACACATGTTCTTCCTGGATGGGGACCATTCCCTTTCCTCTCTGAACCCACAAATCCTATGATGACCACACACACCCCCCCCCCACCTCAGAGCTGGCTGTACAGAGACACAGTGTCTTCATATTAACCCTCTCTGGCTTTTCCAGAAAGATAAAATGTATTAAGTCACCTCTTTTGTTGCTTCGACAATGTCTAACAAAAGCACAGTCTGGGGGTACAGTTCACTGAGTGGTGACGTCATGGACGCAGGAGTCAGGCTGCATCACAGCAAGGAAGCAAATGGAGACAAATGCTGGTGTTCAGTCCAAGACCCCAAGCTCTGGAATGGTGACATGCACACATTTAGAATTTTATTTTTCATTTTACTTAACCCAGTCTAGAAACTCCCTTACAGACATGCCCTGGCTTCTAGGTAATTCTAGATCTTGCCATGCTGACAGTCAATTTTAACCATCACACAAGACATGCACCCCTTTCCTCAGTAGGACTGAAGCAAAACTTCTGGTCTATCCAGAAGGTATCCAGTGTATCCCTGGTACATGAGGCTACTCCATAAGTGATAGCTGCATTGATTACTATTAGGAAAAGTTACAGGGACAGTATGGGGAGAAACAAAGCCAGTGGAAGGGCTTAGGCCATGACACTGGTTGCTAGCCTCACAGTCTCACGGAATGAGCTGTGCCCTGGGGTCTCTGCACTCTTGCTGTGGACAGGCTTACTCTCCCCATCTTTCTAGCATAGAGGCAAAGATGCAGTCCCGAAGCATTAATGGCTATTGAGTAGTGGCTATCACCAGTGTCTATCACAGAGACAGTGGCTATCACCAGTGTACCTGTCTCTGTCAGTGTACACGCGCCTCTGTGAGGTGCCTGTTGTGAGCCTTCCAGTCTGGTTGACTTTATCAAAAGCCCTTGCTTCTAGGTGTAATAGGAGACTGAGATCACGGCTCACTGCCCGGACTACCCTTGTCTAAGGACCTTGGCATGGCTCTCCAGCCCCATGTATGAATGATAAATTGTTTGGAATTTTAAATGGACAACTTTCTGCACATAATGTGCTTCAGATTTTGGTGGCTTCAAATCATAAGGGGTCCTCTGGTCCCCTGTCCTTCTCAGCATCAGAGTCCTGCTTTGTGCCCTGTTTGGATATGAGCTATTGTGACTGTGGAGACTCTTCTACCTCCCTCCAATGTTCAATAAAAGCCATGACCATACCTTCTAGAGCCATTGAAACAGGTTCGTGTCAGCCTCACCCCAGTCCTTCCCCCACAGAGCAACAGTGTGACCCTGTCATAGTACAGACCAAGTCATGTCCCTCTGGTGGCTTTCCATCATGCTTAGAATAAAATCAAAATGTTTCATCCCAGTAACCCACCCCCCATGTCTTTGTCCACTCTTCCCTGACTCAACTGCACCAGCGGTTGTCAGCCTGTGAGTCGAGACCCCTTTGTGGATCGAACGACCCTTTCATATCACCTAAGACCATCCTAAATATCAGATATTTACATTATGATCCATAGCAATAACAAAATTACAGTTATGAGGTAGCAATAAAACTAATTTCGTAGCTGTGTGTCACCACAGCATGAGGAACTGTATTAAAGGGTCGCACGCAGCATTAGGAAAGGGGAGAACCTGCCCTGCCCACTGCTGTGGCTTGAATAGGAAAGTCCTGCACAGGCTCGAGATGTCAACACTGAGTCTCCAGCTAGTAACACTATTAGAGAACATTTTGAAAGCTTTAAGAGATGACGCCTTCCTACAAGCAGCATGTCCCTGGGTGCAGGCCTCAGTATTTTACAGTTCAGTCTCACTTCCTGTCAGCTCTCTACTCCCTGACTTCAGACACAGTGTAACCAACTGCCTCTCACTTCTGCCTCCACACCTTCCCCACCAACCTGAACCCAAGCAATCCCTATTCCCCCCAGTTGTTTCATGCCAGATGTTTGGTCATAGAAACAAAAAAAGTTGTTAAGACACACACCAACTTCATTATGGCCATGGGATGGACACCTCATGTTCCTTCCCTCATGTTCTTGCCCCAGACAGAACTAGCCTGGCCCGGCATCTCAGAGAGACCACCCTTGACTACCCTTGATTAAAAGTATGTGTTAATTAGCAGGTATTAATAGGTAAAAGTAGATATTAATAGGTCTTAAAGTATATATCAATAAGTATTAATTATTCTTTGCTTCCAATTTAGAAATATTGTAGTGAAGTGGACAGGCTCCATCCCTACTATCTGCTACACGGGTGTTGATCTTTGCTTCCAATTCAAAAACTGGAGTGAAGCGAGCAGGCTGCATACCTACTTAGTGCTGCTGACATATTAATCTTTGCTTCCAATTCAGAAACAGTGTTGTGAAGTGGGCAGGTTTTGTCTGCTGGTGCCTGCCGCGTGAGCTAGCAGGAAGTTCACTCTCATAGCTAGCAAGGTTTCCTCTCCTTCCTCACTTCCCACAAGAAGCATGTGTGCAGTGAGTGGCCCATTCCAAACAAAGCCACTGAGATGTTTGCTCTCTTCCCACAGTGGTCTCCTGTGGCCATCCTGGCTCTCCACCCCATGCCCAAATGTCAGGAGACAGCTACATAGTGGGGGCCGTTGTGCGTTACAGCTGCACGGGCAAGCGGACTCTGGTGGGAAATGCCACCCGCATGTGTGGACTGGACGGACACTGGACAGGCTCCCTCCCCCACTGCTCAGGTATGGAATATGTGCAGGTGGCTGGAGGGGCACTGGCTGGTAGGAGCGTGGTCCATGAACAGGAGGGTATGACAGCTTAGGAACCTGTAGTGCATCTTTCCTAAAACAGCATCTCTAGAAAGAAGTTCAAGTGCACTCCAGCCTTTCATCAATTCTTACTAAGAAAACAGCCAATAGACTGCAAAAATAGGAAAGGTACTGCTTGGGGAGGTCCACCTGGAGCGTTAGTCCTGTCTAGAAATCTGAGTCCACGTGCTCCTGGAGATAACAGTCCAGTCTGTCATCTTTTGCATCTGTGATCTTTTGTCCTATGTCAAGCCCCCTGGGCCCCATTCTGCCTCCTTCTCTCTCATCAGTATCTAATTCAACTTGCCCCATGTCCTGACTACCTCTTGGGATAGTCTCCACCCTGAGACACCAGTACCCAGGCATGACCTTTTACTAAATTATAAATCACTAGTCTCTGACACGAGAACTCTGACATGTTATTGAAGTAGCAAAAATCCCAAGTCCCTCAGGCAGTGGTGGCACACATATTTAATACTAGCACTCATGAGGCAGAGGAAGGTAGATCTCTGTGAGTTCAAAGTCAGCCTGGTCTACAGAGCGAGCTCCAGGACAGCCAGGAAGCACAGAGAACCTCTTCTTGGGGCTGGAGAGGTAGCTCAGTGGTTAAGAGCACTGGCTACTCTTTGAGAACTCCCGAGTTCGATTCCCAGCAACCACATGGTGGCGCACAACCATCTGTAATGGGATCTGATGTCTCCTGGCCTGCACTCCTATAAATAAATAAATAAACAAACAAACAGACCTTTTTTTAAAAGTGCATGTCCACATTCCCTAAACCAGAAATTCATCCGTAATGTCTTGCAACAGAACCATACATCTGAAAGTGAATCATACAACCAGCAACAGAAACCACCAGGCTAAAATGTGAGCAGCCGCAGCTGAGTCTTTTTTGGAGTAAACCTACCTGACACTACCAAGGAATGTCTTCAGGGTGCAGCTACTCATGTAGCTTGAGATTCCTCGAGGAGCCCACCTTTCCCTTACCAACCCCTAGCCCTTCCCTCTTCCAGATCCTTCCTTCAGGTAAAGATCCCAATCTCCTTGTCATGAAGAACCCATCTTCCCATAAGACACACAGCCCTTGTAGTTTGAGTTTCAGGAAGAGCCTGCTTACTGGTGTTTGGGACCCTGATAGACTATCGAATTAGATATTTATTAAGTCTCTCCAGAAAGGAAACGACTGTGCCAAAGGGCTCCTGGCTTCCTAGACAACCCCAGACACATCACCAGCACTTTTGACATTCAGCCTTGTTAATCTCATGGACCACTTGACAGACGAAGTAGATACGACTCCTCAGGAACTATGAAAATGCTTTTAGCCTGCTAGCAAGGGCCTTGACTACTTCCTTTGGGACGTCTGGGGGATATGATTGGAATACAGAACAGGAAAGACAGAGTCATGTGCTCAGGGGCCCTAGGTATCTAGAGCAAGTTCCAGGAAGAGGGGGAGCCCAAAGGAGGCGAGGGGGGCAGTCATGCATTTGTCCATCTCTTCCATGATGATATTTGCACCTAGTGAGTCTCTAGTTATTCTGCGATGATGAATTTCTTAGTGTTTGTTTGATCTACTCTGTGTGTCTTTGTTCACCTTGGAAAGAGAAGTGCCAAGTAGGGGAAAGAAACAAAAAGGACTTCCAGCCCATTAGCATAGTCATCCTCTGAGCCACAACATGAACATGAAAGTTTCTTCTAACCCAGAGAGTCACTTCCTTCTCTGGCACTGTACCAGCAGAAGCTAGAAAGTGTTAAGAGTCCATTCTTGTCCAGAAAACTAAGCTAAAGCCTCCCTGGCTGAAGCATGAATGTGTTGTCTTGGACATGACATCTCCTTTAAGAAATAATACATTCATTGGTGGCCCATGCTTTTAACCCCAGCACTCAGGAGGCAAAGACAGGAGGATCTCTGCGAGTTCAAAGCCAGCCTGGCCTATAGAGTGAGTTCCAGAGTATTCAGGGCTACACAGAGAAACTCTGTCTCAAAAAAAAAAAAAAAAAAAAAAAAAAAAAAAAAAAAAAAAAAAAAAACAGAGAGAGAGAGAGACAGAGACAGACAGACAGAGAGAGAGACAGGGAGAGAGACAGAGAAACAGAGAGAAAGAGACAGACAGACAGACAGACAAAGTAATAACACTTTCAAGAATTCCAACTTTTGAGCCTCATCCTATGCAATCAGTTATCTAGAGAAGGAATAAAAAAAATATCCTCAGTCTTTGAGCCATCAGCTCCTGATTAGGAAGGACATAAAGACAGTTCAAGACTCATTTCAGGTCTCCCCATCTTTGCTGATGTACTTTTTCAGTACAAAGTCACTCCCTTTTATCTGTCCCCATGGTGTAGCTTTCTCTCACAGATTCCCATATAGCATAGAGATAGACCCCCTATTATAACAAGCCTGGAAGTGGAGAACTCAGCTCTCCTGCCTGCTTACAGTAAGCAGTAGGCTCCTGCTGAGGTAGGCGAGCCAGTGTAGAAACAGCCTTTTGTCATCAGGGGCATCTAACAGCCTTTTGCCATCAAGGGCATCTTCCAGAACCCAACACTAGCCATTCCCTGTGCTTCATCCTGGAAAACTCCAAAAGGCAACAAAATCTAGCCGAATGTGATAGGCTTTCTATTTTCTAAGCACACTGTAGTTTGAAGGAACACCATGCTTTGAGGGGGAATGAGGAATGCAGGGCTTCTTCATACTCTCATGGTCTGAGACTACACAAAATAATTCTAAGGCTGAGGATGAGAGAGCCACCACAGGTAAACCATGACAGAGTTAAGACTGAAACATCTTTACTCCAGCTAACCCAGTATAGTTTCGAATGCTACCATTCAGTGCTTACACATGTGGGTCTGTGAGAGCACGGGTGCCACCAAAGCTATAACCTTTTATCTCTTGACAAACCACTTATTCTGACATGTCCCTCCTCTTTGGGCTCTACAGTGTGCCTCTATAACACAGAGCCTAGATCCCTGGGACGCTAGGTCCTATGGCTCTGTCTCCTGTTGTCTGCCCTCCCTCACTTCCTGGGTCCTTCGGCACTCTCTTGAGAGGGTTTGCAGAATGTCAAAAGCCAGATAAGTGAGAGAGTTTAGCAAACAGGAAGGGGCGAGACAAAAAATGGAGTGATGAGGTGTAAGGCATGCAAGCTGTAGTTCACCTTTGCAAAAAATTAGTGAATAGAAAATCCTCAACTAAAAGACAAGGATTAATCACCCCAAATCGTTACCATCTCCTCATGGTAAGAACATAGATCACATATGCGCCAAGATATTGTATGCACCTGATTCTTGTTCTAACATTTATTAATCATTACTTATGAATTAAAAATAAGATGAGACTTGAGAAGCAGCAGATGGCTCAGTGGGGAAGGTGCTCACCACCAAGCCTGACAACCTGAGTTTGATCCCTGGAACTCATGGTAGAGGAAGAGAACTGTTGCCTTCAAACTGTCCTCTGATCTCCACATACAAGCCGTCATTACCACATCGCTGTCCATGACTGAAGGAAGCCAGGGCAGGAACTCAAACAGGGCAGGAACCTGGAGGCAGGAGCTGATACAGGGACTGTGGAGGGCCGCTGCTTACTGACTTGCTATATATGACTTGCTCAGCTTGCTTTTTTAAAGAACCCAGGACCACTGGCCTAGGAATGGCACCACCCACAGTGGTTTGGGCCCTCCCAGATCTATAAGTAACCAAGAAAATGCTCAACAGGCTTGCCTACTGCCCAGTCTTATATAAGGGAGGAATTTCTCATTTGGGATTCCCTCATTTGGGATTCCCTCATGTGAGCTTCACCAGACAGCACACATGCACATGCACACACACACACACATATACACACTAGACAGACAGTGGAACGGATGGGCAGACAGATTGAAAATTTTTAAAGTAGTCGAAGATAAATAAAGGCCAAGACCAAGCTCCAGCTGAGCTGTGGGAAGGTAACTCCGTGATAAAAGATTTTGGATTTTATCCTGTCAGCGCTAAGATTCCCCCAGAGATGTTCTTACAGGAAAAAAAGCAGGGTCTGATCACTGTACAAGGTCAGCGATTATTAAGGTTAGAGGCTTAAGCTTGGAGAGATTCAGAGGAAGGGACTATTGGGAAGCTTTTGCAGTCACCCAGGCAAAAGAACAGTGAACCTCTGAGCCCCAACAGAGTGATGTGGAGAGAGGAGAGGGTACCACTGGCCAGTGGGTGTGGGAGGGGAGAGACGAGAGGGAGAAGCTGGGATGTGGCAGCATGGACCACTAGAGTTCTAGCCCAGTATGAGCTGCCCTTCCTGGGTGGCTCCCACAGACTTGAGAACTGTGTGTTGTGACTACTGAGTGGTGAGGTAGAGCCACTCATTCCTCCATGGGGCTCTAGAATGTATCTCTATAACATGGACCCTGGTCCTCTCAGGCACTAAGTTTGACGGCTGTAACTCCTGTTCTCTGCCCTCCCTCTCCTCACCTTCCGAACACAGTAGTTCGTGCAGACACTGTGGGCTGAGCACTGTCTCTTATCACCTTCTACAAACACTGAGTTTGTTGCTTCCTCCCTCCCAACAGCCTACCTCTTTCTCCATTTGCATCCATGAAAAAAAAAGCAATAAAAACCCTCATTGTTTGCTGTGTTCTCTTCTCACTAGGAACCAGCACAGGAGCTTGTGGTGACCCAGGGATCCCAGCCCATGGCATCCGGCTAGGAGACAGCTTTGCCCCGGGCAGTGTAATGCGCTTTAGTTGTGACGCTGGCCACGTACTCCGGGGATCTTCAGAGCGAATGTGTCAAGCCAATGGCTCCTGGAGTGGGTCGCAGCCTGAGTGTGGAGGTACGTATGCGACCCTTCTGCCTCTCCCACTGCCCTGCCCAGCATTCCTGCTTCCAGTCACACCTCAGAGACCCACCCTTATGGATTGTGCATGTCAACAGACAGCTCAGGTCCATTTATAATTGAAAGTATTCATCTTAAGTATTTATTTTAGTAATCCAAAGATAAATAAGCTTCCCCCTCACCTAAAGAAGGAAACACCAAAAAAGACTAAATGACCCTATGGATTATTAACTAACTTTCCATGTAGTTTTACTTAGCAACCATATGCTAAATATTATGATCTCTATGGGGGACACAGTGCTTACCAGAACAGACCAACTGCATGGTGGGAATTCCTGCATCCTCCCAAACTTTATATAGGTTGAATTCTGATTACCAATTTAGTGGGTCCTCTGGGAAGGGACCAAGTCACAAGGGTAAAGCAATCATGTCAAGTTCTCATGAGAGTGACCCAGAGAGCGCTCTGCCCTTCCTGCTGTGGGAGAACACAGTGAGATGCCACCAGCCATGAACCGGAAGGTTGATTCTTGCCAGACATGGAATCCAGGGACCTCTTCATCTTAGGCTTCCCAGCCTCCAAAACAGAAAGTGAATCTCTGGTCTGTAAAAGCTTCCTGTTTTATGGTATTGTGTTATAGCAGCCTGGACAGACTAAGACACGCATCTTAATCAATCACAGTTTGTAGACCAATGCAGGAGATGCCGACACTGGACAGACCAAAAGAAATATAAATTCAACTTAAGGATGGGCCTCAAGAATGTCTTCTAAGACAGTATCGATAAGGGAAAGCCACTCCTAAACTTCTGGAGAGGGAATTCTAGCTTAAAACATCTCTTTCCAGAATCCATCTTTTTTGCACCTGCCCCCATGTCTGTCTCTCTCTCTCTCTCTCTGTCTCTCTCTCTCTCTCTCTGTCTCTCTCTCTGTCTCTCTCTCTCTCTCTCTCTCTCTCTCTCTCTCTCTCTCTCTCTCT